TATTGACCTAAAATCTTGGTATATACCGTGCTTTTTTCGTAGTCGGACACTTTTAATTTGAGTTTTTTTGCAATTTGTCGGTTGTTCCAGAAACAATATAATGTCTTACATGTGTTCAGTGCCGCTATGTAACTGAAATTACAATACATATTTTCGCTTTTCCTGTTGATGCAGATGTGAAAGTGAATATGTGCAATACAACGGAAGGACTTCATTCGGACTAAAAACAGCAGGGTGAGGTTTCATTACTATGATTTTATTGATATTTAAAGAAAACTAGATTAAATATTCGATACGTTTAATATGTCTGTTTTCAAAGCTAAAAGGATTTCTACTGAAAAACTAGTGTAAAATATTAGAAAAGTAAACAATAACTAGTGTAAAATATAAAAAAAGTAAACAATAAATTAATTAAGTCCATAATACTACAGGATTATTTAATGTATAGTAAATTTTGTTTCATGTATTGCTGAAACGCTGTGCATTATAATTATATGTTAATCATATAGCATTAAATTATTTGTAATATCTAATTTATTTCAGTTTTATTTTTAATGTACTTGTCATTATAGATTTAAAGATTTAAAAGTAATAATGTTTTTCATTTAAAAATTCAAATTTGTGTTTTTCACATTACCCTTTTTTTAAACTTTTTTTGGTCATATTTTCAAAATTATTGTGAAAATTGTAATTAATATATATTTTTAAAAATATATAAAAAACTTGAGAACAATATTGTTAAACCAGTTGCTTATAAAGCTTATATTTTTTCCCCCTAAAATTTTGCTGTTACGTTTTTTAAATTAAACGTCATACATTAGCAAAAGGCTACATTTCTGAAAAGCTGTAGAGTATATGATGTTTTAAATGGATACAATAGAATAAACAATTAAAAAAGATTAAATATACAGGTAAAATGAAGTGCTTTTGCAAGGGACGTCCGGTATCCTATATTATCATTGCAATTTCCTGATCTGATATAGGCTCTACCACGTGATGTTCGGTAACGAGATGTGGGAATCTCGGCTAACTGCCTTGCATATTTTAAAATTTAAAACATAATTTTGCAGTGTGTTCCTTTCAAAATGTTGTCTATTAAATTTTCAGAGAATTATTATTTTTCACCTTTACAATTCCTTAAGGATACACATAAGTAATCCAAAAAAGCAAAACTCACACATAGTTGCAGGCACAACTGTCGATCTAGAGAGCTACGAAATTAACTATTATGATCATAAACTCTAACGTTGACATATCAAGATTTCACTAAAGAGTAATATAGAATAGTAAGAATTCATATCGCAATTAAAAAGTGTTTAATAAAGACAGTCGGAAAAATTAAAGTAAAATGATTTTCTGTGACAGATTAAAAATAGATCTTTGGTTTTTATTCTGTAAGAATCTGGATCACTGCAAGTTTAATAATTATTTTAATAATAACAATAGCACCATTTGACAGTTTAAAACAATGTTGACATTAAATATTATCATTAAAATATATTTTAATATATTTATATCGATAAATATTGAAATATTCCTTTTTAATATTTAGTTTATTATAAAAGATCTTCTACACTAAAATTTGTTTAAAAAATAAATGTAATAACCGAAAATGCTAGTTCTTTCATTTTATCGCCATACTGAAGAAAATTAAATATTATTTAAAAAGTCTGTAAGAAAAAGTTGGTTCTTGTAAAATGCTCTTTTTTTATTCATATTTTTCATGTTTACATATGAATGAAAAATAATATGCAATGTTTCGTTTGCAGTTCGAAAGCTTAACATTTTCGCGTTATGAAGTGTTGGAAAGTTTATCCAATCTATGGAAAATAAAATGAGACTAATATAAATAATTATTGATCATCCAGGTGAAAATTTTTATCAAGTATTAAGAAAAATAAGCTCAGATATCTGAAGCCTTAAAGCATGATATATAATTTTTTTTAAATGTTAAGATAGTATCATTTATTTACTAATCTCCTATTTGCTTTACATCAGAATAACATAAAATTAGCTTCTCTGATAAATTAGCGCGATGTGGGTTCACTCGCTTCGAATGCAGGAGAGAGATTTATTCGCACTCCTCATCGTGACGTCACGAGAGAGCTTTCGGCCTTGTTTCTCGAAGGACACGGTTGCTATCGGCGACCAACGCCACTCTCAGCTCATCGTATCACGTATGCGTTCGTTAGCTGGTGATAACGTGGGAGATCCCTTATTAAAGTCCCTTCGGCTTAATAGACTTCCAACAAATACACAAACAATTTGGGCGGCTCTAAATGAAGACATTTCAAATCTCGCAGCCGTGGCAGTTAAAATACATGCCTTAAAGCTACCCCAAATAATGTTAGCATATTAGATTCCAGTGGTACTTCGTTGAAACAAAAAATAGCCGGCTTGATAAAACAGATTAATGAGCTAAAGGCATCGGTTAAGGGACATGATAATTGTTCTCGGATCGCAACAAGAAGCTTTGCAGAGTTAGCTGTTCACGAAATTACTCACAGCATTGTAATATGAATTATTGTTTCTATCATAACAGAATCAGGGGCAAAGCAAGAAAATGTAACCTCCTTGCATGTATAACTAGCTGGAAAACTAGATCGGCGTTCTCCTGTTAACCAGGTTAACGATTGCCTCATTAACCTTATTCTCTTGCCTGACTTTAAAGTTTAGCGTTTTTACAGATACTGGTGCAGAAATTTCAGTCATCCCTAGATGATATGCGCCTCACTTAAAGTCAGACAAACTAGTTTTATACACCGCAAACGGTAGCCAAATTTCTGCCTTTCGTAACAATTCCTTTACCCTCGATTTTCGGTTGAGATGCTTTTTCTCTTGGGAGTTCGTAGTGGCTGTTGTGAAGTAAACAATCATCAGAACTAACTAATTTACTTTATAAAGCACTTTAATTTTCTAACTGATCCCTGGAACTATTGCTTAGTTGACAAAAAGACCCAATTCACCCCTCGTGGTGCAATTTATGATTATAAACAAATGCCGTCTAAATCAGCTATACTTCATCAGGACTCCACCTTCTCTCAAATTCGCTCTCAGTAACCGAAGCTCACCAGCCCTTCGTAACCCAATGAAGACTTTCAAACCCCTGAAGTTTATCATTTTATTGGCACTATCTTTGCTAAGCCGTGACGTCTGTCCGCTGATATTCTCCAAACTGTGCGATAAGAATTTGAATTTTTCATCTCGCAGGGTGTTATTCGGCCGTCCAAGAGTCCAACTTTGAAGAACTTGGATGTGTTGAAGGTGAGCTTTGGCAGCGTGGCTCCAGACGGGACTAGCGTAGAGTAATGCTGGTCGAAGTATAGATTTATATAAGAGGAGTTTATTATAAACGGATATACGACTTCTTCTGCCAATAAGTGGGCGCATAGTTGCAAGCATGATATTGACTTTTTTCACAGTTTCCCTGAGATGCTTCTGAAAAGTCAATTTTTTTTTATCAAGAATGACTCCTAGATATTTAACTTCGTCAACCCAGTTAATTTCTTCATCAAACAGAAGAGGTCTAGGTGGTGGAATGAAATTTGTTTGACCTTTGCGAAAAATGATTGCTTTTGATTTTTCTGTATTAACTGCGATCCTCCAAAGAGTGAGCCAATTTTTTAGATGATTGAGGTAATGTTGAAGAAGGAGCTGGACATCAGTAACAGTAGAAGCTTGGGTCATAACTGCAGTATCATCAGCGAAAAAAGCAATGGTAATTTGTGGGTCCTTAGAAATATCGTAAATGTTATGTAAAAATGGAGAAAGTACAGATCCTTGAGGCACTCCAGCAAAACTTTTTCTCATGGAAGAAACAGAACTGCCAACTTTTACTGCAAAGATTCTGTCTTGGAGATAGGAAGCACTAAGTCTAATACAATGATCGGGGAAGTTTAACTTAACAAGTTTGTATATAAATCCCCGGTTCCATGCCCTATCAAAAGCTTTCGCAATATCATGGAAAATGTCTCCGGTAGGGAACTTACAATTGAAACCGTCAGTATATAGTTGATGACACAAAGCAGCTGGTGATTAGTACTGTGAAGATGACGGAAGCCAAACTGTTCGTCTGGAATGTAGGAGCTCTGTGGAATTTAATTTTATTAAGATGATAAAGAATAACTTTTTCAACTATTTTAGAAAGGTGACTGAAAAGGCTGATTGGGCGGTAGTTCTGGGGAAACGTTGAATTTTGATGCGGTTTGGGGAAGATGAACAGATCGTTTATGATTTAACCAGACAAATAAAAAAAATTCTTCGAAAAAGTTCTAAACGGTAGGAAGAGGCCTGAGAAAAGAATCCAAAACTCAGAAAACAACCACAGATTCGGAAGATATCACCAGTACTTTTACCGATTTCTTCAAAATTTCAAAACAGATTAATAACATGTTTATTGACCTTTTCATCCTATACATTATTTGAGCAGCAGCTGGAATAATGCCAGTTTTCTAGTCATATATATGATTGCGTATTTTAGAATTTCAATTTTGTATTTCTATCACTTATAATGTGCCCTAAAAGTTTCGTAGTTGTTTGATTCAGGGTACTATGCCTGTTTATTTTTCATATTTTATCTTTATGACCTTTTAGCATGTGGGGATATTCTTGTGAGAATATCCGCATCAGGAGTCATCAAAATGATTGGTCATGAATTTATTTCCAAGTTCGAACAACTAAGCATCAATTACACGCTCTGAAAAACAAGTTTTCGATAGAGGTAGGGTCTTTCGAATCCGAAAACTCTGTTATTGCACCACTGTTATTCACATGATCATGTAGAAAGATTAATGTAAGTTTTTCCCTTTTGAAAGATCTCCATTGCAAAATCTGAAAAACTTATAATTTAAGAATTGAAGCCCTAAATGAAGTTAAGAATTAATTAATATCATTACATTTCAATAATATTTTTAACACTTGGGAGGGGGGCGGGGTATTTAATCGTGTATTTTCGTTTGCGAGCAGCAAATGGAACTGCATAACTTTTCTTTGCAATCCATTATGAAAGCGCAAGCGCAAATACTAAAAACAGCTGTTTCTTGACCATGTTATTGCACTTATATTGAATGTGTTTTGTAGAATATTTCTATTACTAGTGAACATTCTGAACTTCAGTTATGTATGTCGTTGATACTTCCATAGGGAGTATTGAAACTATGAAAATTACAGTAATAAACTCTAGTGGGTTCTATTGGGTTGTAGATGTTTTACCAGAATTTACTATAGACAAATTAAAATTGATGGCATTAAGCCATTTTTTCAATCCCATTGACAGTATCAAGGTATCTGATCGCTATAAATTAATTCTAGTTTCTCAAAATAGACCTCTTCCCGATGAAAGCACCATAAGAGATGAAGAAATACGAGAGAACGGTAAGATCCTGTTTCATTGTGATTTTGTATAACTTGTGACATTTTATGCGTAGAACTTTCTTCTTAGTTGATGTTTTATTAAAATTAATTTTTTCGTTATAGATGAGCTATTATTACTGAGAAGAAGGCCTCTTTCAATTCTTCCAAGTGAATCACAAGAAGAGGTAAGTTTCCAACTGAAAATTAGGTGCAAATCATATTAGTTATATCTTTGTAATGTTTTAAAACGATCTTCTGCAGAAATTGACACTTAAGGTAATAATCATGGATCCAGATTAAGGCAGTTTCAAGTAAGATTAACTTGTAGGTTAACAGATGAAAAAATTCTGTTTATATTCCTTCGAAAAATTAAACTGTTTTACTCAATAGTGTAGCATTGATAAATGAAAATGGATACTCTGCAGCATGATTTTAGAATAGATATATTTCGTTTGATAAAAGTTATAAAGATTATCTATTCTAATTTTTCAATATTTAAATACTAATTTATTGTGTAATAGAGTTGAATTCTGGATATGAAATTTCAGAACGGCTTGAGTATGGGACACCATTGGCGATTTTTTGGTTTGGCGACCAGAAGTGTCGCCAAGCCATGGAAAAGCCGTTAAAATTGAAAACACAAGCTAGAAAGCACGTTTTAACCAGAAACAATTTTAGAATATATGTTTAAACAGCAAATTTGAAGGTAGTAAGTAGGGGCATATTTTAAAATATATTGGCAAGTTAAATTGTAAATTTATTATATTTTATTGCATATTGTAAAAGCAGTTAAAATTGAAAATAGATGTTAGAATGTACATTTTAACAAGAAAATTTTTGGCGACGTTTTGGAGCGATAAATGAAAAATTATGATAACCTCGGTAACCCTAAATACTGAGCTTCAAACATGCCGCCATTTCTGTCCACGTAAAGTTACTTTTGTGTTAGGAAAGCACAACATTTAAAATATTTTTTAAAAAGCCAAATTTTTGATAGTTAAAACTGGTGCTTTTAATATTAACATTCACATGAGTCTTGACATTTTTTCATATGTCAACTCTGCATGTCCATATGGTCACATTTCATATGTCAACATTTCATAACATGTCATATGTCCAACTCTTCATATATCTATATTATAAACGCCACCCCCCTCCCCAAGGAAAAAAAAAAAAAAAAAAAAAAAAACACATTTTCAGTAGCATGAGGTAAACTCTTGGTGCTTTGCTAAGGAGATCAAAATTACCATGGTCTAAAAATACTTGTATACCTCATATTAGAACTATAGGGATGTGTAATTGAATGAATTCATAGGTTCAAATCAGGTTTCATTATTGCTTTTATAACATTTTCATAATTTGTCTGACTATAAAAAATATGTTGCTTAGATTATGGAATATATTGCTTATAATTTAGAGTTCTCAAATTTTGTAAATCTTACAACATAACAGCTGTATATGAATAACCTTCACTAAGTATTATTACTTTCATTAATAGTATGTTGACATAACAGTCGACTTTTTATTTTAAATTTTATGCAAATTTTCTACATTACTTAAACATTTTATCTAACAGAAATCTGAATTTTTTGTAATAAAAAACTCTATAATAAAAGTAAGAGTACAATTTATATATAAAATTTGACTACATGGCAAGCACTTAGATACTGATTTCATTGTCTTTAAATGTTATTATCATAATACTTTAGATATTCTATTATATTAATTTAGATGTACAGACAGAAGGCACACTTTGTACTTACGACTCGGTCAACCACTTGTGGCAAGATAACTTATGATAACAATTAAGTTCAAATCTAAAATTTAAATTAAATTCAAATACACAATTTGTAGCCCAAATTGGTTAAAAAACAAGTGGTTTAACTGGCATGGAATTCACTATCAGCAATTATAATGCAAGGCTGAAGACTACAAATCTTTTTTATCTAGCAACCTATTAATGTGGCCTTAAAAGGCAAAACACGGTTTGTTTTACAAAAAAAAAACTTCATTTGGATTCTGGTGAGAAAACGGATGGAAGAAATTGACAGTAAAGATTCCAAGCATAAAATAACTCTGGTTACAAAATAAAGGAACGTTACAATATACTTTGTTCCCTGATAATATTCAGTAATGAAATAGTGTAATGCCATTTTTGTTGCATCACATACAAATTATTTAGTTTATTTAAATGCTTTCCAAACTGACAGGATTTTGCAAACATATTGACCATATTTTTTGACCTATATGCAACACTTCTTCTCTTCAGAAGTAAGATTTAGAATTAAGAAATAAGAAAATAAGAGAGATTATGAATAGAAAATAAATACATATGCTGGCTAGCAGAAGAAGGATGCCTTCATAAAGTACTTTTTAAGAGAAACTCAGATGTCACACATTACATTACGGAAAACTACTAAAAACTCTCATATAGCCAGCCTGAACTACCACTGTCAGTGGCTATCACTCCACCACTAGTGGATTCCAATGACTGTTCGAATTTTCACAGAAATCATCGTTTACGATGATTGTTGTATTATTACCATTGGTACAAAATTTAATCATTATGATAATTTAATTTTAGCTTTTAAATTATAATCATAATTACTTGTAATAAATTGAAGATTAAAAAATACACATTTCTTAATATTTTTACCATTTACAATATTTAATCATAAAAAATATTTCTAACACTGGTACAAAACTTGCCCATTATAATTGAATTTGATTTCCTTCACTTTGAAATATTTTTTTATTTTCTTTAATAACAGAATTAAGAAACTAAAGTAATATATTTATTAACCTTTTGAAATTCATTATTCTTAATTAACCTTTTGTAAATTTAAAATATTAGAACGTATTTAGTACTAATATAATAAAACATAAGTATGAACTAACTACTTAAAATAATTTTAATACATTATATTTGTAATTAAAAAACAACATTTTTAATTATTTTTTAAAATTTTTAAAATTTATTAAATAAAAAGATTTTGTAAATTTCATTACTCCATAATAATTGTCATAAATTCATTTACAGTAGTGTTTCAAGAATTTATCATAGCAGTGCTAGAAGTATTGAAAATTAGAGAAAGACTGTTTATTCTGATTAAGAGCTTATTTTTTAGGATTGTTATTTAGTCTAGATCGGGTTTTGTTGACAATCCGCCATTTTTTTCTGATCTTCAAAACCGGGTCTACCTTGGTAACCGAAGTTTGTTGCCAAATAAAAAAATCGCCAAAAGGCCAATACTAAAGCTGTTCCAAAATTTTAAATACAAATTTAGAATATGTATTTAAACAGGGAAACTGAAAATAAATAAATAAATAGAGGCATATTTTTAGCAGTCATACTGAAAATGCAAATTACAAGCTGTAAAATTGAAAATAGGAGCTCTGAATACATGTTTAAATTAAAAATATGAAAATAGGATTTATCAAATTAACAAATCAGACATGGTACATGCAATAGAAATGCAAACTTGCAGATCTGAATAATGCAATTTTATTTCTTTTCAGTTTGTCAAAAAGACAAAAGTATTCTGTCCTGCAACATCTACTTTGGGGGGAAGGTGTAAAAAAATTAAATGTTGCTTTTATTAAAATCTGCAGGTTTCTTTTCTTACTTAAATGTTTAAATTAAAAGTAAAGAATGTTTGAAAATACACAAGTACATGGAGGCATATTTTAAGCAGCAATATTGAAAATGCAAGTTTTAAGTTATAAAACTGAAAACAGGAGTTCAGAATAAATGTTTAAATTAAAAATAAAAGAAATGCTGGAAATTTAGTGAAGTTTACAAAATCATGGTAAATTTATAAAGAAATCCTACACTCTGCTCAATTTATGTCCCTTATAATTTCTAGAAATTTGTTGAATACATCAATATTTTGCTCCTTCGAAGAAAATGACATTTGCGACAGGGTCGCCGAAGTGGAGTATTGTAGAATATACTGGGTTACCAGAAAAACAACCGTCCAAAAAGTGCGGCAAGCCAAAAATCGCCAATAGGGTCCTGTATTCAAGCTGTACCGAAATGTCTCTATTTCTTTCACTCTTTATTTATTTAATAGGGGATAATTCTGTGATTAGCCATGGAACTATTGTAATTTGGCTAAATAATTATAGGTAAACAAGATACAAAGTGTAGTGTTTTGTTAACTCAAAATTATATTTTAAAATATTTTCTAAATAATCCTTACACCTTTTAAATAGTCAAGTATAAAATTCCGGGGAAAGTGCAGAATCGCTCACTGCTTAGCGCGTTTTTAAGAATTGCACATACTCAGTATCCATGTACGTGTCGATCTATTTTCACTTTAAAAAAATCCCAGAATTGCACAAAAAATGGCATTGCGCACACTCTTGACTTTATCCATATACACATCGACCTATTTTCATTTAAAAGTCAAAGAAAATTGACAAAAATCCAATTCTTCTTACTCTTCTAAAAAGCGCCAAATAAGTGGGCGATTCTGCACTTTAGCCAAAATTCCAGCATTGTTATTGTATAATTTTCATCATAAGAGAATTGAAATACAATATTGTTTTGAAATTCATGTTATAGAATTTACATTAGCAGATTAAGTCACTTATCATATTTAATTGCTTATCAAATTAACAAATCAGACATGGTACATGCAATAGAAATGCAAACTTGCAGATCTGAATAATGCAATTTTATTTCTTTTCAGTTTGTCAAAAAGACAAAAGTATTCTGTCCTGCAACATCTACTTTGGGGGGAAGGTGTAAAAAAATTAAATGTTGCTTTTATTAAAATCTGCAGGTTTCTTTTCTTACTTAAATGTACTGTTAGGAATAGTTCACTGTATATAAACAATGTTGTGAGGACTAACTGCAAGGCTGAACAAGACATTAGGAATGGTATTTTCATTTAATGGTATTAGGAATGGTATTGAAAAAGTGCTTTGGAAAACATTAACTGTGAGGAAAATAATTGATAATTTTGCTGGAATGAAAGCAAGGAAAAAGCAATTTTTAATTAATTTCATACTTTTTGACAGTTCTAATTCTGTCAGTATGTTTATACGTGATCAAATGCATGTCCATAATCAGATTTTCCAGTATTTCAAATAAGGTAAAATTGTACCTTTCTGTGAATTTGTTTTAAAAGAAAAATATATCTTGATGATGAAATAGTATGACGGCAGTGAATAATGCCAT